CTCGGGACATAATAACGGCAATTCTTTTCAATTTGGTTTTGCTACTGTGTGGGAACATCTGTGGATCTGATATTATCATAGACATGGAGAAATGTCTCGTATTTTGGAGAAATGTCTCGTGTTTTTTTTTTCCTTTTCCCGTATTTTATTACAATCCGAACTCTTATCCAGTTTCATAAATATTCACCTATAATGTTCTCTTCATGACAACTTAGGTTGTTTGTATCAGCATTTTCAGGGTCATACATAATCTAACGATCGCGTTGTATTCCCGGCTAACAAAAGACTAAACTACTTCATAGTCCGTATTTTTCCCGCCATTTCGTAGGGGGAAAGGTGAGAGTTAGAGAAATTACTTGACAGATTGGCCTGTTAAATGCCCACGTTGGTTTCATCGGTGCAAAGTGGACGATTGTGGGTTATGCTAGCGTTTGTATAGTGAAGTATAAAAGTACGCTACCGGAGAAAGCATGGCAATAGGATGTTAATTAATTAATTAATTAATTAATTAATATCATCTTGAAAGCATGTTCATGGTATTCACGCGCATGTTCTTTATACAGCCTGCCGCTGCCTCTTGTACTCGTTCATCTTCTGAGCCTGTTAATGTGAGTAAGGTCTGTGGGAAACAAAGAGAAGAGATGCCGACGTCACAGTTTGAACGCATATACCTTTACACAGGTTAAGTCTGCATTTGAGCCAAGTGGCCCATCAGGCCGGGGCTTTGTTCTGTAGCATGAAGCGACAGGGAGTATTTCTACACCACCCCCCCACCCCCGCCCGTCCCTGAATGGGACGCCAGTCCATAGCAGGGTTACTCCCAGCATTAGGATCGCGCCTGTACCCATTTATACACCTGGGTGGGGAGAGGCACTGTGAGAGTCCTAGGCCAAGGCTCGAACCAGGACCGCTCGATCCGGAGTCGAGCGCACTAATCATAAGACTACCACGCTTCCAGCACCAAAATAAGACCCTTACAGAATGGAAAAATAACCCATAAAAGAAGGGTTAATTCTAATTTCACTTAACAATACACTGTTAAGGGGACAGGTGATAGTAATGGAGAAAATTGCCAACTCATAACCGAGTACCCAACCAATCACAGACACCATACGAAATTACGTCATCATTATAAATGTTTTCGGCTCAGAGCGAGGAGGTTTTTCGTACTAGGAGGAATCCAGGCTCCTTGTGAGAAGCGTAGCAGGTCAACTTTCGCAAGAAATCGTTTTACCTTAAGCGCGTCGTGTTGATGAATCAAAAAGCAGTTGTACGGGTCACGTGACAGTCTTTCCAGTGCGCATGCGATCGCTCGTTTTACTGCCACGTCAGAAGAGCGTTTGAGGCTGTCAGCCAGAGGAACGACCGCTGATGAGAAGGACTTCACGTTCTTGTCTAATCCGCTGCACCTAAGGATTCAAGTGGTTATAATATAAGGGCCTACCTGAGGCTTATGGTCCTCCTAAGAAATGATAAAAGCTCTGGTAACGAGTTTTAGTACTTGATATGTCATGTGATAAATCGTCTCCGAAATGAGACCGTTGACAATATTTAGTGCGCATGTCAAGTTTTTTCTGTAAAAGTGGTGCTCTGTGTGGACTCAAATTGTGCGTGACGCCAAGTTTGCATTTCATACGGGGCGTGTTTAAAACACAAAATGACGAAATGGCACTACGGTTAGCCTAAATAGCGCTCACGTTAGCCTAAACATCACTAGCTCGACAGTGGTTCATCATCGTTCCCTTCTCTGATTGTGGAGGATGGGGCCATCAATCCGTCTCCTCCAAGCAACTCGGTGTTTTACCGCCACCTCTGCCTCCCTCCATGTCTTAAATCTGAGATGTTCCCTCTCTCTGCTGATCGTTCTTCACCACGTCTCTCTTGGCAGTCCTCTTCGGCGTTTTCCTTTGGGTGCCCATGTTAGTGCTACCTTGGGATTTTGGTTTGAAGACATTCTCAGCCCATGACGCAGCCATTTTCATCTCCTAGCTCTTACATGTTCACCGATTGTCCACGCGTCTGATCTTTCTCTAACCTCTTCATTACTGCCGGGCCTTCATCGGCCAGTAAAAGTTTCAAAATTTTCCACAAGCATTTGTGCTAGAAAACGTCTAGCTTGGATTCGTCCTCTTATTCGACAGTGGTTAGCTCTCAGAAATTGTAAGGGTTACCCTTACAGACAGCCGTATACCGCATTGTGACTCTCACCCATCCTG